GCGCCTTAGCCCCGGGCTCTGGGGCTTTTCCTCTGCTGGGGACGTAGAGCTGGGCTTAGTCTGGGGAACGGGGGCCAGATCCGAAGGGGTCCGGGCTGGGGGAGAGCTGGGCACTGGGTCCCCCTGCCCGGTGCCGCGCTGCCTGCTGCGGGCAGCCAGGTGATGGCTGCTCCCAGCTTACAAAGGCTTTCCTCCGGGTCGTGAAATCCGCAGGAACCCCCCGCCACCACCCCCTTCCTCCGGCCGCCCTCCCCGCCGAGGCAGAGAGGCCGGATCCCCGCGTCTCGGCGGGGGGTTCGCCCTGCCCGCTGCCCCGGGGCGGCCACGGGTCCCGGGCGACAAGGCTACTGCCCGTACCCGACAAGGCGAAGGGCTGGCGACCAGCCTCGGACCTGCCAAGGCCGGCCCGGAGCGGGCAAAACGCTTCTTTTTCATATTAATGCGTTTTGCTTGAGTGTGTCCCCCCACCGCCACCACCCCTCCTCAGCCCCCGCCGCCGGCCACCGCCGGGTCTCAACCGCTTTCTGCCTTTTTTCACTCCACAGGTGGACAACGTACCCGTAAAAAGAGATGCCCTTACACCAAATATCAGATTAGAGAGTTAGAAAGGGAATTCTTCTTCAGTGTCTACATAAACAAAGAGAAACGCCTCCAGCTCTCCCGAATGCTCAATCTGACCGACCGCCAAGTGAAAATATGGTTTCAGAACAGAAGAATGAAAGAAAAAAAAATTAACAGGGACCGATTACAATATTACTCAGCTAATCCACTACTTTAAAACTCATAGCATTTTTCAAGACGAGATTAAATTCAGATTTCGCCCTTGACAAGGTCAAGCCACGGGGTTACGTGGAGGAAGGAGGTGTGTGTCTGACGGGACTAGAAGAATCCAAGGTTTTACATACATGTAAATCTACTCTGGAACTTCAGTGATGATTTTTATATATATATATCTATATATATTTACATATCAACTGGAATCGATTTGGTTTTGACACACATGGCATCCATTTCTAAACGTGCACGTCACCTCTGAGTGCAAAATCCATACCTCTTACCTTCTCCAGGCACTGCGGCTCACCCTGCCACCGCTTTGGGCAGGCACAGGCAGGGACGGCAACCCCTCCATCCCCGGACTCGCCCACCCCCGGCCCCCTCTCGCCCCTGTGCTGCTGCGGAACAGCTGTCTGGAGATCGCCAGGTCGAGCTCGACGCAACCAGGACCACTGCAGAACATAAACTCTGAGAGATAATCTTTTGTTCTTCCTTAGCGGACAAATGTCTAGGTTAGAGTCAGTCAACTCCATTGCCCATGGGTTTGAAAGGAGAATT